TCATATGTCGCATGCACTACAGGAAACGCATGGAAGAACACCAGAGAGATTGTTTGATTTTGAAGCGACTTACATCTGAATGGCTTTGCAGATCTCCTCGGGTGTCTTGCCCGCTTTCCTCAGTGTGATGGCCAGGTTCTTCGCCCTGTTGGAGTCCAGCAGAGTCACCTTACTGGACCCCTTCTGCATGACCTTCTGCTTGCTTGTGGTGAGGTCAATCGGTGGACCCTGGGCTTTCGTCTTAAACATCTCCTCGAATTCATCCACATTCAGGTCCTGAAAGATGATAAGGTTTGTTCAGTATTAAAATGGGATTGGAGGCAGAAATGAACAAGGCTTAACAGCTGCTAAGTGAGAGGAGACCCTTACTTCAAGTATCCTCTCGTCATCGATCTCATTGAAGACAGTCCCGTTGATCTGGTTTGGTTTAAGGGCTACCCAGTTGAAGACGGGCATGCGGAACTTTGTCTTGATGGGTTTCTTGATCTTAACAGCTGCACAGGACACAGACAAGTTAACACGGTTTCCCTTATCTACTATCAGTGCACAAACATTCATTCACACACAAACAGGTGAAAGGGTAGACAAGTATATGGGATCTGTGACACACATGGATATGGCCTCCTTGGTGGCTAGATCCTCCCACTTCCTTTTGATCACTTTTTAAATTTAACTGTGCATTCATATTGGTCTTCCAAAACTAAACAAAAAATACACTGTTATACATTTTCAAGCAGAGTGAAACCTCTTTGCCTATGGCATAAAAAGAGTACACCTGTACAGAAAGTGGTGAGGATGTATTTATCAGGACAGATTAAAGCTATTTGTAGCCACCTGGGTCGATTCACTGGAGCTGAATGCTGAGGTGGCAGCCTGCTCTGCACACACACAAGGTGTCAACAGGACATGAAGATAAGGCTGGCATGGGAAAGGTCAACAGCATTCCAGCTCTGCACAATGCATATCGCTTTCTTTCATCTGCATGCCATAGCAGGTTACTGTGCCTCAGCATGCAACCAACAGCACGTAATTCACACAAAAACACTCAAACACACACAGTCACAATAATACAGCAAGGTGTAGAAGGAAATCATGCAGAAGTTTGAAATTTGGTCATTTTCTTTGTTGTTTAAAATGATCTAAATGTTTCACACAGATGTACTGTGTTATTCTTGAGTTTTCAATTTGCATTCTGAAAATGCCATTTTCAAAATGTGGGGAACAAAAGGAACAAGGGGTGGGCGGGGGGCGGGGGGG